ATGAATCACTCGGGGCTGCCGGTCGTTGATTTGGGGCAGGAAGTCCGGAGATCTTTTTTGCATATGACAGGCTTTCGCTTTTCAAAGTGGCAAAGCGAGCTGTCCGTGTTTCCATCTTCGGAGTGGGCGCAAGCAGCCAAGGGCTGCTCGGACGGGATCTGACCCGCTGCTGGCGGGGGAAACACGGAGAGGGAGCGACCGAGTGCGCGGGAGGGGGCAGGTGCTTCTGCTGCGGAGATATTCCGGGGTTCCCGATCTGGAAATACGGCCGATTTAAGAGGGGGACCGCGGGAGCCGGTTGTCGTCTTCTGGAGCGCGTCCTTTATTTTCCTTGTGGTCTGCAGCGCACGCCGTTAATCCCTGAAGGCATTAGGGAGAGTGGGATTTGGCACCGTATGTGGGGAGAGGAGCTGTCTTAACCTTTTTAAAACGACTTCTCTGCTAACGGGGGCAGCGCTCTTGCTATTAAAGCAGGGAAGCAGAGTACCTGGCGGTGACGCTTCGTTTGCACTTTCTGGCTGCGCTGAGTGGGTGTTTTTATACGTTTGAGTTTTCAGAGATGAAATTAGGGCTGCGAGGTTTTTCTGGTGTTTTTTTTCTTTTTCTTTCCCCCCCCCCCCCCCCCCGACTCAAGTCTCTCCGGCTGGAGTTGAAAAAACACTTGAAGGTTTTTCCAGGGATTCCTGTCGCTGTCGCTCTGCGATCCGGAGGGAAAGGAAAGCCTCGAGCAGGGAAGGGGTGCTGACATGTTTATCAGCTCTCCTGCTCCGTCCTGGCAGAAAACCTTTGCTTTCGTTTACCCGTCCTCTCGGTAGCACCTCATAAAAATCCACGCGGAGAGGGGAGCGCAGTTGTCAGGGGGTTAATCAAAGAAGTGCGAGTATCCTCACGGGGGGCGGGGGGCTTGAACACGCTCTGGAAACCGCGGGGAAGAGACGGCGTGCCCCCCGTTTGACGGCAGGTTTAATACTTGCGCAGGCGAGAGCAACTTCTCCCCGTGCCCCTCCCGGCCGCCGGGCGTTGCTCCGGCGCAGGCAGCGCAGCCCGCGCACGCCGGGGACCCAGAAGCGCACGAAGGGGGCCGCACCGCACGGCTCCTCACCTGGGCTGGGAAAAGCCCCGTACGTTTGTGCCGTTCGCGAGTATTGCCGGTAGCGAGGAAGCCCGGGCTCGGTGGCCTCTGGGGGCGGCGGGTGAGAGGCGGGGAGCTCCCGGGGAGCGGCGAGCGGCCGCGGCCCGAGGAGCCGGGCGCCGCCGTGGGAGCCCCGCCGGGGGACGGGACCTCGCCTCCTCGCCTCGCACTTCGTGACACCGTGGGGCTCCCAACAGTCGCGGCGGATCTCCGGAGAGGGCGGATCCTGCCGAAGGGCTGCTTGTGCCGAAAGGAATCGGGGGCCCGATCCCGCTGCTGCTAAAGTCGGGGAGGGCAGGATTAGGCCCTTTATAATTAGCTCCCTTCTCCTCCCCTCGCCCCTGGGGGGTGTGAGAGGAGGAAACAATAGACATCAAGTGCTGGGTTCGCTTTTCTCTGTGTGCCTTTTAAAGTACTAATGCTATGTGGAGGAAACAGAATTGGTACTGGCTGTCTGACACCACCTGCATTTTTTATTAACAACTTGTTTAATAAAACATTTTATAATTTTCACTTATTCTTTAAAGTTGCTGATCGGGAAACAATACACATGTAAATAAATTATGCATGGGATAAATTAGGACAAAAGCAGTAGGACACATAATAGGGGAAGGGATGCAGTGCACAGTATTTTATCCTCATGTGTCCTTCCTGACAATGAAAGGGAGCTGAATGACATTTGCATTTCCTCTGTCTGCGTTTTGATTGTATCTCAAAACCCACAAACGCCCCCTACAGAAACTGGCCACACAAAGGTTTTGCTCTGAGATGGGGGACAATGTAGATAGAGACTGAGAAATCCTAGCTCAGGTATCAAGCAGCTCCCTGTGTGTGCTTGTGCATTTAAGTGTGTCCGATACTCAGTTTATCTCCGGCACTTGGACACATATGTGGCCTTGTTCATGCTAGACTAGTCTCTCGGGATAATGTATTCCAGTGTACCTGAGCATCTGTGGGAATACATTACATAGAATAGCTTAGTGCGTGGAGTCCCTTATTAGTGATTGGCACCTCCTTACGCTCAGCTTGCCTCTTTCTCCATCTAGCGCTCTCTTCTCACTTTCTGGTTCTCTTTTGGTGCTTTCACCCCTTTGCTCTTCTCCCCTTCACTTCCTCTGGTGATCCAATCAACCTGACACGACTGCCTATTATTTCTGCCATTTAATACCTTGTTGTTTACCAACATGGTGCCTCAGGCAAAAATACCAGAGATCTAAGTTTAACAGATCTGCCAGGGAAAGACGGCAGGTGTCTGGATAAACACATTCTTCTTCATCTGTAGAAAAGGCAGTATTCAGATAGCTGTGATGGGACAGCAGTGGATTTGAAGTGCTGGATTTGTTGGGTTGTTTTTTTCCACTAGCCTGTGTACCTATCTCCATAGTTTTTCTTTCCATCTTCTTCTCCTTTGGATATCTTAATATGGAGACATTTGAGCAGTGCAGTAGAAGAAACAAATGCAGTTAAAAAGTATTCTGAATGACTTCAAATGTCAGTCAGAAATCTCAGCGGGCTTTGTAAACGTTAATTAATTAAACCTCTCAACACCCCTGTGAAGAAAGGATTATTGCCTTTGTTTTATGGATGGCTAAACTAGGACAAAGTGGTTCAGAAACTTTCTAATTCAAAGATCAAGTCTAGAATGCAGCCATTCAACTTCCAGTGTTAGCACCTAGTCCCATTTCTTCCGTCTCTGCCTTATTAGTGATGTGCATATGGTACCATAATGCATTTAATGTAATTAAGACCTTGTAATTTACGAAGTCTTATCTAGAAGCAGAGCTGGTTTCCCCCCAGCCCTTCTCTGTCTTTACTCCCACAGCTGACTTTTATTTCAGGTTGTCAATTAAACATACTCACTGGAACTTATGTTAGGCTATTGCCTTTTCTGCGTGCGAGATTCCCTCATGCCGTGTAGCTCTCTGCCTGGATGCTCACCAGAGGAGCTGTTGCCTTCCAGTAGTTTGGCCTTGGAGTAGCGGTGCTGGTGATCTCCCTTTCTTTTGCTCAAGACAGCCTCTGGGACAAAAGAGGCCAACTCGGGCTCGAATGCTAGGCTAGGTCACTTGCATGCTGACTGTATTGACGGATAACTTTGATGTGCTTGGGGACACTTATTCCCTGCCAGGTGTTTGGGGACCAGATCATTGCAGACTTGTGTGCACAGTGCTAGAGCTGACCTTATAAACCCTACCAGCCCTGTTCTGTCTCTGCATTCCTGCTGCAAACACACAGCAGCGGTCGGTTTTCAAATTGCTGTACCTTCTCAGATAAAATTGCCTTGACAGCCAGCTCCGACCCCTGGGCTGCCAAATGGCCATCCTTGTGATGATGAATTCTGTGGCATGAGACACCTGTGAAGAAATGGTCTGTGCTTGCATCCCTGTTTCATGTTGGCAACAGACCAGCGTGGCTCTTGGGGTCTTGTATGGCAAGAGTATTTCATTAGTGATAACTCGGGCTTGAATTCAAGCTGCGGACTCTTAACTGGAAGGTCCCGTATCCCATTACCCATCCCTGAAACAGCCCTATGTCCTGATTAAGTGCTGATGAAGACTGATTTTTTTTTTTTTGATGTTGTTGCATAAGCATCTGGTTGCTGATCTTTAATATTAAAGTGAAAGTATAATGTGCAGTGCTGCTTTCAGCAGGTGGAAGCAATAAAATAGACGGACAGTTAGGTTGCCAGTTCAGTGTTTACCACTGATGTGGAGGTGATTTTAATGTGGCTTTGCAGAAGGGAATTTTCTTCTGCTTGACAGAACAGGGTTGTTGGGCACATTAAATCGCATACCAGAATTTCTACAGCATTTCCAATGTGGCTCTGAAGTCACTTAAAAACATAAATGAGCCCTAGTGTGACGCATTTCAAACTAAAACTGTTGTCCACATGAAAACTGTATTTTCTGTATCTCAGCACCAGCCTTCAGAGAAAAAGAGGGATGAATATTATTCCATTTATGCAAGGGAACATGAGCATAAAACCAAAGTCATTGGGGGGCAGAGAAGCCAAGTTAAGAAGACCTGAGGATACACTGGTTTGAATATGAAAGAGTCTGATAAATGATATGTTACTAGTTACAGTGTTATGTCTGGTTCCATGAGCTGCTGTTGCATGATTAGTTGTTGCAGTGCTTTTGTAATTTTGTTTTGCTGGTATTCTAGTCTTTCACAGTCTGTCCAGTTGTGTGAATGGATGGAGGTTGTATCACAAAATTGTCGCTGAAGAAAAATTTTTTAAAACACGATTTGTGGTGTGTGAAAGCAATGTTGAACTATCTGGGTTGGGCTACAGAGGCCCAAAGGTATGATTTTTTG